GGGTTGGGGAGATAGGAAAGGGCTAGTGAAACTGGAAAACAATGGGCAAAGGGCAGAAGAGGATACAAACCTGCCCACCACCAGCCACTGCCACTGATGAGTGAGGAGGGCACCCTAAATCACACAGGAGGCCACGGGGAGACTGAGCAGGAGCGTTTGATTGACATCTTAAAAGGATTTGTAGCTGATCTTGGGCAAACAATTGTTGGAGAGCAAGAGCCGAAACAGGGAGCGAGACAGGAGGCGACTGCAGGAATCTGAAGTGCGAGGACGACTGCTGGAGCTATGACAGTCGTAGTGGGTCTTGCGCAAGTTGGATCTAAATGAGCCTCATCAAGCTACGTTACAGAAAAGGTCTGAAGGACTTCTAAATGCATTTACTTCAGCTCGAGGAAAAAGAAGAAATCAAGGAAGCACCAGTACACATTGCTGCTGATTACTGAGAAAAGAGAGACCTGGAATGAATAGGTTTGATGGAAAGATGGGCGGGTTGTAGGGCAATGGGAAGCAGCAGTTTCATTTTAGACCTGATAACTCTGAGATGCCAAGTGCACATCCAGCAGTATATGGGATACGGTAGGCTAGGGGGTTCACTCAGCTATTAATTAACAGGTGGGATATTGTAATCTACCCAAAAATGGCTCAGAAGAAAGGCCGTAGGCACTCTCATTTTCAAAGGGTGCTCCCTTGAAAATCTTAGGGAACATACTTTTCTGAAATATGGGTTGCTATGAGTCAAAATCCATTTGCGAGCCACTCTGCATTTTCTGTTGTTGTTTGATTGACCTTTTTGGGGGGTGGGGGTGGGAAAAGAGAAGATGAGCCTGGAAATAGAAATTTGGCAATTATTGGCATACACATGGCCCTTGAGCCATGGGGACAGATCTGATGGCCCAGGGAGTGCGAATGGAGCAAGGAGCGAGGAACCATGGAGGCCACGCTCTGCTCCTTTGAGCATTTGGAAGTGGAAAGCCACTGCTCCCAAAGCTTCCTTTCCTTTAGACAAGACGTTTTAGAGACATGTGCTCAGGACAAAAGAAGGTCCCCAAACAGCAGGTGATCTATAGGCCCTTAAATATATATCTATATATATAATGAATTGGGAGTTAATTTATATATCGTATCATTCCATAGTACAATCACATCAAACAGAATTGGACAATTGCACAATTGCTAAGATAATTAGTTTCCAAACCTTCTTTTCCTTCCTGGACTCCTCGACATCATCTCTCTTTTACACGCCCTGCACCCCACCCCCCACCCCGACCACCACCACTGCTACAGGCCTTTTTTAAAGACCTAGTAGGCACTCTTCCAGAACTGTGTGAGAGAAAGACTAGACCACCTACTTCCAGAGATACTGCAGGCTAGAACCCGTCAAGAGAGTTCAAGTCTGCCCTTCCTGAGGGTTGCTGTGATGGGAAGTTGGCTGGATAGCAACTCACCACCACCACCGGCACCCTCAAAGGCTGAGCGGAAGTGGAGGTTCTTTTGTCTTTTTCCCAGTAGATTCGAATGAATCTCTGAACGGGAATAGCATGCAGGTGGGCTTCTTTCTGATAGGTTTTTGAAAAACAGGGTAAAATATTTGTCATGAGATATGTGGATGTATAATATTGCTGTGAGGTAGGCCTGTCAGGAGGAGGCCTTGAATGTTTGCTGAGCCATCAGACCGGAACAGTCTCACTTTTAAAACAAACAAATCCCAGCAGTATATAAGGGAAGAGTCAGGAGTCCTCCTTCAGAAGAAAAAAAAAAAAAGGCAAGCAATCAGCCTTGAGACAAAGTTGGGCCTCAGCACCAGAGCCCGTGAGTAGAGGCTGAGCATGAAGACTAGTTTTATGTATTGTTCTTCTGCCTAGCAGCTGGGCTTTGATGTCCGAGGACAATGGCGTCGTTCTTTTTTCTTGTTTCTTGAGGAGGTAGGGGATGTAATAATGCCCTTCCCTGAATCAGCAGGGTTACAGAATAAAGACAGAAAAAGAGAGAGAGAGAGTATTCATGTAGCGTCTTGTGCAATTTGCATAGCCATGTTTTGGGGAGGAGTGTCTGTTTACACAGTGTGGTAGTTACATAGCCTGGTATCATTTTGGGACTTGAGAGGATTAAGAGTGAAGGGGTGGAGTCTAGTCTGTCAATTGGGTCATAGCCAATGAGGGCTTTGTGTGGGCATGGTCTTCCCCTGAGAATTCTGGGAACTCTGAATTCCTTGGAGGCAGGAGAGACTCTCTCTCTGCTGGCTCCCTGGGAGACATTGCAGCTGACAAGAGACATGGACCTACTCTAGTGTCTGGAGCTGGAGAAGCCACATGGACCTACCCTGAGGCAACCAGACCTCTGAAGCCGGAGAAGTCACACAGAGACCCCTGCCAGAGCTGAGACGCTTACAGTGCCACTGGGTCCAAAGACTTTCTACCCGTTGGCTTGTGATGTTCCTGCATTCTGCATCGTTGCATGTGTTTTGTGAGTCTTAAGAGGACATAAGGCCTAATATCATACTTATGGGCTTGGACTGGATTGGGTTGGGATGCTTTCTTAATGTATAATTACCCTTTATGTAAAACTCTCTCGTAAACACATTTGTTTCTTTAGTCTACCCAGACTAACACACACAGATAAGGGTATCTGCGCATACCTGTGAATATACTGTTTAGGGATCGTGGTGCACAGTTAATATTGCAGCAAATTATAGGAATTCTCTCAGTAACAGGGCCAAGAATTTGTCTCCCTATAGGGAGACTTTATGGCAGTGTAGAGAAATCATTTGACAATGCATGATTTTGTGGTATTCCCCCTAAACATGTTTTCTTAGCTCTTAATGTCTTCACCTTGAATTCTAAGCAGAACAAGTGACTCCTCTAAATGCAGAAGTTTACTGTAACCTAAAATTCGTGTGACAAATAGTCATCCTAATCCTAATCATAGGCTGCTATCTTCTTCGAAAGAGACAGAAGAAACAGCCATTTTGGAAGACTAGCATATAGTACAATGAGGCAGTATGGAATATTAGAAACGAGGAGTTGAAGGATGGAAGTCTAGCATATCGTATGGAATGAGGCAGTATGGAATACTAGAAATGAGAAGTTGAAGGATATAAAATTCAGGAACAAAGATTTGATGTAGGAGGACCATTTTTTAAAAAGCTTTAGGAAACAAGGAAGGAGTTTAATAGGATGGATTGCTGGCTTTACAGGAAGACAGGTTTATTATGAATAACTGTTATGAGAGACCTAACTTTTGTCTTTACTATAATTTACACATATTCTCCTCCAGGATTCAATTCATAACTAACTGGTGTGCAAACTTGAGCATATTTGATGCAGTGACATTCTATTGGGGGAAGTGGATCCCACAGCATATTCTCCCATAAAAACCTCACATAACAGTCAGTGGCTACTACTGGCATGCTCGTTTAGCTGTATGTATATTCATTAAAGAAAGCAACTTGATATGATAATATTTTAAAGTTTCCCTTATGCTTGCTAAATTTCTGGGAAATTAAATATTAATAACTCAGTGTGGAACTGCTGGAATGTACTTAAGGTTGAGAAAGAATCTGCTATTCTCTGAGGTCCAAGGTCAACCAGAAATCTTTGAACACCCTGGCTCAGTAAGATGTGAGCAAATTACTTCCATAAATCCCTGGCTCCTCTATTAAGTCAGTTGCACATTAAAATAAAAACGCTAACAAGTGTTGGAGAGTACATACAGACCTTGCAATAAATTCAGATGTACATTAGACTTGTGCATGTTAAGCTTATCTGCACTTATGGCCCCTACACTCATTCCATAGGTTGGGAAAAGCTCAAACCAAAAAACTCATTGCCACAGAGCCCCTGCTACCTCATCATGAGCCTGTAGAACAGGGCAGAACTGCCCCAGTGGGTTTCTGCGGCTGTAACTGTTTACGGACTAGAGAACCCCATCTTTCCCCCTCTGAGCGGCTGGAGGTTTCCAACTGCTGATCTTGCCGATGAACCCTCAACACGTAACCACTATGCTCCAAAGGCTCTCTGGGATAAGCTCAAGTATTTCTTTTTTTATAAAGAAATTTAACAAGGAAAACAAGTTCCAGGTAATCCTAAGGCTCATGGAAGTTAGAACATGACTGCTGCCAATGTGAAGTCTAGCAGGATGAGGCTTCCCTGAAACATCGGCGTAAACATACACTATAGTTAAAGCTTAGAAGATGTTGAATTGGAGAATGTTTTGTTGGGTACATTTTTGCCACAAGTGAAAATAAATAACTACATGAATAACAATGAGTGAAAGGAAGAAGACAATGTTCTAAAATGATTGTGGCAATGATTGTACAACTCTTCTTGATATGATTGATCTACTGAGTTGGATGATATGTGGCTGAAGGGCCAATACAACTGTTTTATAAAAAATAAAATAAAATAAATAAATTCAGCTTTTGAAGGGTGCATAAAGTGAGGTCCATGCGATGTCCATTAAGCCTGCTCAATTTTAACATGATGGTGTTTCCCTCTTGATCATTGCCTATTTCTTTCTAGTCATTTCCATTAACATCCATATCCACAAAACTATTGTTCCAGGTCTCCAGTGTGTGAGTTCATTGTCCCAGCAAGTACAGTGTTTCATGCAAATCATCCCAGTCAAAAGCGAATACTTATAAGACAGCAAGTTTGTTCTTGAGGATTCTGTGATTTCTTTGGTTTTGCCCCTTTTCTTATCTCTTTCTTTGGAAAATGCTAATTGTTACGGGAAGCTGACCAATCTGACCATCCAACCAACCTGTTCTCTCCATGCAGGCACTGGAGAACCGGAGCAGGCTTTTCCCTATCTTCACGATGCTACTGACCAGCTCACTACCCTTGAGAAGTACAGCGATGGTGTATCGACAGGGGCAGTGAGCACGTGTCGAAGGTCTCGTCTCGCAGAGGCCAGGTTTGCTACCATAGCCCTTGGAAGGGTAGGAAAGAAAGGGTCAAAGAGGGAAATGATTTGGGGAAGTTACGTATGAATGTATCCTCTACCTGGCACTGAAGTTCCAAGTGCAACGAACACCACTGCTGTCACGGAGTCTTTCAGGCCAATGGTGCAGCCGAAGTGGGAAGCCAGGTCGCCAATGAACGCTGTCAGTAGGCCAATCATGAGGATGGATACAATGAAACATGCCCAGCCGTTCCAGTATTCTGTCGGGGGGACGAAGGCAAAGAGGACCTTCCAGAACACGGTCAGAAAATGCATCACGTAGTCAAAGCAGGAGGGCAGCTTCTCCTCCCCGCATTCATCGTCATCATCATCTTCCCCTGCAGAGAAAGGAAAGAAGCACATTTCATTGAAACATGCTGTCAGGGCTTCTTCCCAGTTCAGGGTTAAGTTCCAAGGTCTAGGTCATTATGGTGACTATCAGCCTGATACAAAAACAGCAGAGGACTGTATCACCACATCCCTCCCCTTTACTGTGAACACCTTGCTGTGTCCCTGATGAGATCACATGTTAGCACCACCTCCTCCTTCCCCCATATTGCTGCAGAAGAGCTTGCCCCACCCCCACTGATCATGAGGGAGGGCCATCAATCTTTGAGAGTCAGGCTGGTCCAAGTGCTGGCCCCCTCCCTATTCCCAGAGACCCCTCCAACTTTTACCATCATTGTGCAGGAGGAGTGGTCCAAGTTCCTTCCCCCAAAGACCCCAAAAAGCCCATAGCTGTTCTGTCGGGGCCTGAAAGGGCCTGGGTGCCAAAGTGGGGTGTGTGCTGTCTGCTGGGTGCCCCCTGCGCGTGCGCGCGCGCACACACACACACACACACACACTTTGCCCCCTACCCCCATCTTTATTAGAATGGACAATCTAGAGTTTGCCCCCATGTCCAGGTTCAGCCTCAGCTCTTCACCTTAAAATGTAGTTGCTACAGGTCACTCACCTGCTGACCCCACCTCCACTGACCTGCAGCCTGCTAAGGTAGGCATCTGTGATGTGAATCAGCTGATGTGGGGTCCCGTGGGTCCTAGCTATCTAAGGGCCTCGTTTCAGAGCTCCTGTTGATCATCGCTCAGTCTGTTCCTGCCAGATACTGGAAAATGGTATCCAACCGGGGATCCCACTTCCTCCCTGGCCCTGACAGTAGCCTGGCTTCAGGGCACCAGCTGCTGCTGCCCATTCCTCATTCCTCTGGGGAGACCAAGGGCCTTCTGGGTAGTGTTCTGTTCCCAACAGCCCAAGTCCTCCCTTTGATCTTCATGGCTGAGGGAGATGACAATTCCTCTCCTGTCCCTGAAAGTAAGAGCAACGCAAGCTTCCCGTTCATGTGCTCACAGATCTGCGGATGAAGGAGCCTGTCAGGGACTCAGTGTCCATTCCTGTCTGACATGCATTGTTAATGTACAAAAGAGTTGGATACGAGATCATTCACTATTGTCATATGCATTCAATGTCAGATAATGAGATAGGGATCAGCAAGGAGTAGATGTATTCCTAGGTTTGGCAAATAGTCTTGAAAGAAAAGTCCTGGAACACTTTGTTCATCTCTTTCAACCTCATTACATTACAGGGATCTACTTCACCTCATCCAACTAATGCGGCTGGAAGTGGGTGGGCCGCCCAGTCTTATGCTCCTTGGGATCCCCAGTAAGAAGCAAACTCATATGAACCAGGTGATGCTCTCTGTGGTGAGAAGTGCCTCTCACAAGACACAACAGGGTGAAGGTGGGGATTTGTCACCTGCCACCTTTCCAGGGGAGAGAGAAGGGGCAATAGCCTCGTCTTCAATAAGCATAGTCAGAAATATTCTGCCAATAAGTGTGGGGGAATCTGTGGAGAAAGTAGCTTCATCTTAGAGCAGTGGTTCTCAACCCCTTTCACAGGGGTCACCTAAGACCATTGGAAAACACATATTTCCGATGGTCCTAGGAAACCCAGACCCTGCTCCTCTATCCGTCTCCAGGCGGGTCCGCCCGCATGCAGATACGCTCACCTACGAGTACCCGGAGTAAAGACTGTTACCCAGGCTACACCATGCTTCAAGACAAAATTTCATTTATTTGTCAGTAGCAATAAATATTTCACAATATATAATTACATATTGTTTTTGTGATTGATCACTATGATTTAATTATGTTCAATTTGTAACAATGAAAATACATCCTCCATATTAGATATTTACATGACGCTTCATAACAGTAGTAAAATGACAGTTATGAAATAGCAACAAAAATCATTTTATGATTGGGGGATCACCACCACATGAGGAACTGTATGAAAGGGTCTCGGCCTTAAGAAGGTTGAGAACCACTGGCTTCGAGGCCTTGAATGGTCTTCCATCATCTATGTGGAGGCTTCCATTGGCGGAATCGGCACACCGTTAGAGACCTACTTGGTGGGGAACTTGAAGTCTTCATCAGACTGAAAAGTGTGAGACTCACTAGATTTAAAAAGCATCAGTGGTTCTTTCTCACCACTTCTCATCCATGTACTCTGGGCCAGCTTTCTAATCTCTCCCTTGGAGTCCCTGGAGCCCTGGTGGGAGAGTGGGCTACACACGTTGAGCTACTAACCATGGGACTGCAGTTCAAAACCACTAGCCCATCCCATGGGAGAAAGATGAAGCGTTCTACCCCGGTAAAGAGTTACCGTTTTAGAAACCGAGAGAGGCAGTCCTACGGGGTCTCTGGGCATAAGAATGGAGTCTGTACCGGTGAGTTTTGTTTGTTTGTAAGTCCCTGGGTGGGGCAAATGATTAACGCACTTGACTGCTCATTGGACGGTTGAAGGTTTGAGTCCATGCGGTGTTCCCCTCCCACATGGTATCGTAAGTTGGAGTCACCTTAAGGCAACTAGTTTTACTGGTAATGTCAACCCTGTTGAACAGCCAAAGATGCTTTGGGGGCCTGCTATGTCATGGGGGAATGAAGAGCCTCTCCGTGACCCATTACCCTTTCTTGTTCACTTATCCATCTCGGTCTTTCCTTCTTTCATGTTTCTTCCACTTCTCTTTTACCCTACACTCGAGCTCCAGGTCGAAACCAGTAGAAGAGCTGCAGTTGTCTGGGCAGACGCTAGGGGAGGGAAGAGAAGGCTGTGGGGAACCACGCGCCTTTCCTCCCTGTCTCCCTGGAGAGAAGCCCTGGTGGTATGCTAACGAGTTACACAGTGGGCTGCTCAGGGAGAAGGCAGCAGGGGGAGACCCCCGAGCAGTTCCACAGGAGAGATGAGGCTTTCTGCTCCCCTACAGATTTAGTCTCAGATTGCTGTGAGTCCAATAAACACATGGCAGTGAGTTTCTGTGAGTTTCTCCTCCTTCAGTTGCCCTCTAAGGGGGCGCACATACATGTCCACAGAAGCTCACCAGGTTACACCGTGAATCAGAAAACCACACTGTGCTTCCGGCTTCCTTCTTTTGCATCAGACCCTTTGAAACTTCTCTCTCTGTGGGCATTTTAGAATTTCATAGGGCACATTGGGGAAGCACTGCATTTTAATGAATCAATCACACACAGAATCACAGATGCCACTGCCTCTGGGTTGCTACAAAATTACTTATTATCAGGTGTGTAAGTCTCATATTTTGAACCTGAACAAGAAAACAAATAATGAACTTCTCAGAAGTGACACTTAGAAACTCGAGAGTAGATATTATATTTGTTTTCAAGATGGAAATAATAACACCTTTGCTGTGAGGAATAGGCAGGGGGATAATTAGATCATCTCAGCAAAGTGTTTTAGGAGATTTCAAGGTAATGATTAGTGAGGCAGTTATTATTATTTTCCTACTTAGGGTTGTTCCTGTGTTATTTAATTTCATCGTTATTTAATTGCTTAGCCAACATGCTGGGTCCTAAGGTTACATTTCAGGCTTTTAGAAACAAAATTTAATCTTCCCCCTATAGGATTAACTTCAGGACTTGTGCGTGTTAGAGACTTAAAGAGGGAGATCAAGATAAGGCGAGAGTGAGAGCAAGGGAGATGGAATTCCCTTTCTTCCGGGTGGCCTTCCTGCATTACAAGCAACCTTCAATGTTTTTAACGGAATGAGGCCCATCTGTTTGATTGTGTTTGAAGGTAGAAGTGGCTTCCCATCTTTTCCCCTGGGTTCTATCTTGATGCTCTTTATAAATTATCATCTCTAACTCAGATGACATTTAAATATTTAAAATGACCACTGACTGCCATGCATGATGCTCAATTACCCCTGCCTGGGGAAAGACAAAGAAATAATATGTTCATCCATCACCATCTGGATGATACTTACAAGTCTGCTCCTCAGGAAGAGCAGGGGAGCATTAAAAAATAAGCAAAAATCTGAGGACATCTTTGCTGTGAAGGCAAGGCTGACAGTGTCTGCTGGCTCTGCATGCGTGTTCCAACACTGCCGCTTCCTCTGGGTCATTCGGGTTACCTCATTCTTTTGAGTCCCTGCTTTGCACTAGCAGAGTCAGGTGGCTGGGTTCCCGTTGATACAATCCTGAGCTAATTCCTGTTATCTCAGATCTGTCTTTTCAGCTTTGTGGATTCCACTAATGGAAGATGGCAAACAGTCTTCAGTGTATTCAATTAATCCCTTCCTCAGCCTTGAGAGTGGTCTCCTGGATACGTGTTGGACATCCTAAAATAACTACAAAAGCAGGGAAATCATTAAGATCACAGGTACTGATGAGTGGTAGCACTTCGGCTATGGAGAGAACAGTTGCACCCACCCTGCTCAGGAAGGAGAGAAGAAAGGGCCTATCACAACAGTTGAAGGTCAAAGGCAACCCGAGTTTGGCACCTTCAGATAACATGTATTCTAAATAAGACAGGGGTCCTGGGGAGGTGCAAATGGTTAACACATTGTGCTGCTAATCAAAAGAGAAGCTAGTGGGGTGTGGTGGACACTTGGGTCTGAAGACTTAATTCCTCTTCTAGCTCTAGAGCCTGTTCTGACTGTCTCAGATCCCCATCCGTCAAATGAGTTCCCTAACTCCTATGGTCACAGGGCTATTGCAAGGACCAGAAGGGGAAATGCTGCAGGCCTCTGTAAAACTGGAAATCCCATAAAGATGGATGAGCCATTCCATCTTTGTTACTTGTCAGATGGAGGCCGGACATCATTGTGACCTGAACATCCTGATGCACTGAATCTATATTCTGTTGAACGAGACACCGTCACTGCCATTTCCCTGAGCTGCTTGATTTGAGGAAAGAAATGAAGACAGGACTACTATGTGATAGGCACTGAGTGAAATTCTGTCACATAACTGATCTTACCTAACCCTCAACAATAACCCCCTGAGGCAGGTATTATTAATCCCACTGAAGTTCATTTGAAGAG